TACCTGATCCATACTTCTGCTCCAATCCCATTCTTTTAATGTCATGGCGACCTCGAACACGTTCCGAACTTTGGAAAAAAATATTAACAAACTACTAAGCTCAGGGTTTTATGTAGCCATGACAAAAAAAGGATATTAACAACTCTAGTTTAAATAACGAAAATATTATTTTACTTACTATAACAAATTCAATAAAATTATTTCCAAAAGTAAAACATGGAAAAATCTACTGATTTCAACAAGAAAAAAATTCTTCCATAGAAAAATTAGAAACTGCATAAAGCAACACTTCCACAATGAATTAAAAACAAACTGTAAACAAGTCACTTCTATAAATCTACAAACGGGTAATCCAAAATATAAGTCTAGCGGCTGTATACTGTTCTCCCCGTTTCACAATAACCGAACCACAGTTTATAGACTACTTCAACACACTGGGCCAATACTTCATACACACGTACTAGGTATCTCGTCTTGTGACCACATAAGGAAGACAACTTTACAACGCCATTATAAGATTGGCAATAGGATGGACAGTGTTTCAACCGCTTCATCCACGTACTGGATAAAGATCCAAGAAAACGACCAGATTTGATTAACTTCGTATTGACGAAAAACATCACACGTAATCTGAGCATCGCCAGTTTATCAGACCTATCACATGGAACTAGCATTTACATAGACCTCTTTTCGCAAATATAAAGTTAAAAGAAGCCACACTTCGGTTCACAAAGGTATTACGACAAAAAGAGGCCAGATTGCAATAGCGCTATGTAGACAGAACCAAAAATTATAAAGTACATAGATGGGACATCTGATACAAAGAAAAATTTTCTATGGCGGGTTCCAGCAGTGAAACCCGCTGGAACGAGCGTGTTCCATTGCGCGACAAGTTAAGTTTGAGAAATTTTTCGCGCGACAACGAATGAGGAATAGCCGAGTGGTAGAGTGCTTGGCTGGTGTGAAAAGTAAAACGAGTTCAAACCAGGCTCGGGACATCCATTTTTTTTTAATTTTAAATTTATTTATATTATATTTTTATTCTTTTAATGTGTTTTCCTAACTTTATAATCCAATAAAATACAAAATTGTAAGATCACCTTAACATAATCTCAGTTTGTAGTGGAACCCGCTGTAAAAATGTCTATAAGTGCGGGTTCTACGGCATTTTGGCAGGCCGCGTCGTCGTTCCACGACAAACGGCTGGCAGATGAGAGAGGGAAAGAGATAATTCTATTTTTAGATGGTAACTTCTTTGGAACGATAAAAGTTTGAAACGTTCAAATTGAACCAGTGTGAGAGCAAAGATATCTGAAATATCTTTTAATATCCTTATCCTTCCTCTCTGTTTTTGGATCATCAGATCAACTTTGAGGGTAGCCTAGATGGATAGAGTAACTACTCTATGCATTACGCTACCACTCTGTCTCGATCTGCAGCGATTAAAAATACTATTTCTTCTACTAACTATCACATCGGCGCATTGAAAACAAAAACGAGAAATTGAAATTTGGAAGCCAAAACATTTTTACGCCGTCGTGCGAGAAGTCACACATACATACAAAGGCTCACATTTTTGTTGACGGGTACATGTAAAGAGTTCTAAAAATAGAATCGTATGCATGTGCGTTCCCCCTCCACCAACAAGCTCGACGAAAAAAGTTGACCGTTTTAGGCCTTGATGTCCCATCTATGTACTTTATAATCATTGACAGATCGCACTAAACACTAAACACAACAGTTGCATCAATAAGATACTGATACAGTTGCATCTACAACTTATACTTCGGCCCGCAGTGTCAGAGTTAGAACCAACACATTCGTAATCCATCTTGAGAATGTCTTCCAGCCGAACCCAGCATCAGGCGTACTACCTATGCCTACCATGCCTACCTACCTATGTAACTACCCCAAGGAGTCGACAATGTTCACGATAACATTGAATCTAGGCAAGGATCATAAAGAAGCAGCTGCAACCACAAAAATCTCCAGGCTGCGATCTAATGACTCCGAACATGATCATTAAGCTTTCAAAATGTGTCATTTTCACCATATGCCTGCTCTTCAATTGAATGATTCTCATCATTAAGAATCTTCTAGAGTCAGCTACTTTCCTGACATGTACAAGAATTCGGTCAACATAATGTTACCAAAGCCTTGAAAAGATAACCGCTTTATCTTATAGACCTATAAATCTAATATCATGCCTATCAAAAAAACTTCTTATAAACTCTCTTAAAAGTGGATGTTGACCTGGATTGTACCACCAGTGAATAACCATAACATCAAAACTGAATTTCCTCAGGGCAGTGTTCTTGACTCAACACTTTAACTCCGCAACACAAGATTGCCCTCCACTTACATTAAAAAACACTGTGCTGCCTCAAGCGAACGAAGTAAGGTACCATGGCGTACCCCTTGACAGACGACTCACTTGGCGCAGACACATTGAAGCCAAAAGAACACACCTAAGTCTGAAGACTGGTAGCCTGCACTGGCTTACAAACTCCCGCTCTTCTTATTGTCTGGCCTACAATGAACTGCTCTACAAATCAGTCCTTAAACCAATCTTGACTTGGCTTTCAGTTGTGGGGGAGCTCCAGTAATTAAAAACAAACAATAATTTGTCAGACTATTCGGGCTTGCTTATGTGCAACCTATAAGAATCTGTAGGAACTTCCAGCTTTCTATCTTCAAAAACACGAAAGTTGGGTCAATTCCGATCGTTCAGTTGGCAGCTATAGGATATAATCGGCCGATCCGGCCCGTTCCGACTTATACACTGCGTACAAAGGAAAAAAGGATGGGTGCAAAGTTTTAAGTCGATAGCTTAAAAGACAGATTGGTTTGCGTAGAAACAGACAGACGGACATGCTTATATCAACTTAGGAGGTGATCCTGATCAATAACATATATACTTTGTAGGGTCGGAAATGTCTCCTTCACTGCGGTGCGCACTTTTGACCAAATTTATGATACCCCTTGCAAGTTTACTATATAAAAACTTCTTGACATGGTAAATTCCCGTGTTCGCCGCCCAAATTATCTTATTTGGGCCTTTATCATCTTAAAAATTGTTGTATAGTTGTAAAATATTACACATTACAAAATATTCCTATACGCCACGTGTCTTTATTATATGGGTTTAGTTGCACGAGACACAGAATATTTTTTTTTATGTATATTTTTATAGATTTGCAGAGGCTATTATAATTTTCATCAAAAGTGTGAGACCCAGTGAAGGTGACATCTCCGATCCTATAAAGGATACACATATTCTTGATCATGATCACCATCTGAGTGTATATAAACATGACCGTCCGTTCGTCTGTCGGTTTTTTCATTGGTTTTAAAGCAGGCGTCGGCACGGCCCTATCCCGAGGGCATAGGAAATTTCTCTGCCCGAGCTCTGCCACACACACACAGTATAAATGTGTGAAACGTCATGCTCACAGCCTACTTTCTGCTATTCGTTACTAAAACTAATGCGTTTAAATCATATCAATTTATTGGGCTGCCGACCACTGTTTTAAAGCTATCTTTAAGTTAATTTTGCACACACCCATCTTTCTTTTGCACGCAGTATATGGAACAAGCTTAACTTTTTGGTTTAACTTTCATTTATTGCACAATCTTCCTACAGGGTATATTTTAGAAATATCGCATGTGTGTATTTGGCTAAAATCATTAGCTGAAAAACCATTTTGTCAGGTTATGTGGCTTTGAAAATCTATCTCATCAATTTATATCTTGTAGATCGGAAATGCTAAAACTTCGGTGTTTTTAAAGTTAAAAAGGATAATATTTTTGGTCAATTGGTCCGACCTACCAAATTTCATAGGGAGTGGGCGGCTATATCTTAAAGCTGCCATATAACTGAGCGGTCGAAATGACCAAGCTTTCGTGTTTTCGAAGATAGAAGGTTGGAATTTCGTAAAGATTATATTTTTATAGAATATGCCAACTTTATCCAATAATTGCGACATACATACATGCATACATATCCCAATCCTAACTGCAAAAGTATCTTAACTTCGGTTGCACTCAAAGTTAGATTTCCTTTATTAAATTGAAAAATAGCTGGATTTATTAATAAGTCATAATTAATTAAATTCTATCAATTTAAAGATAACTTTCATTATTTTTTTAATATTTTAAACGTTATAAAAGCAACGGAATTTGATTGTTTTTATTATAATTTTAAAATTATATCCATATATGTTTATATTTGATTTTATCGCATTACACATCTGAGAGCATTATTCTCATAATGGACTTTAGTCAGAATCTATGAAACACAAGCAGGAAATTATATCTGAAACCTGCTGGTTTTTGTCTGCCAAATTGATAAAATTTATGTATATTACAGCTCAGTTGAAAACGAACCCGTTTGTATGTACCCGTACGTATGTACATATATGTATTTAATTTTATACATATGTACATATTATGTTGTATATTAAATTAACTTTAAATGAAACCGTTTTTTCTTAAGTTTTTAAAATAAACGAGCGCGGAGAGTAAGAAAAATATGAAGGACATTGTATTATTGCTTTTTTTCTGAACAAGGGATTAACTGAAAAAAGTACAAATATATATTCATACTTGTATATATAGTACATGCATAAATGAATTTGTACTTGAAGGTAAACACCGAAAAGTTTTCCGTAACAACATAGGAATGAGTAATTTGGCTGTAATAAAAGACAGCTGATGTGGTGTTTCCCAAAGCCTACCCAATGCTTGCTACAGGCGTATATTAAAAATAAAGGCAAACGGGTTTGACTAAAGCAATTTCGATGAGACAACCGACGCAAGAAAAAAACTGATGAGCATACAAAGCGCGAGAATACTCAGTGAACCCACAGCAGACCCTAAACAGACTCTCCCTCTAAAACTCTCTCACAATTTGCTTCCCTGTTCAATTCTTGCCTCTAAGATCGTTAAAGCAAAAGCGTAGGCACTTCATAGGTTACCAGTCGATCGAATCTCATCCAAGCTTTTATTCAGAAGCGAGCTATGTTTGCGAACGGTCGCCTTCGCGATAAAGGATAACATATGATAAAAGTCTAAAATTCTATAAAATATTTTTAAAGGCTACAGTAGAAAAACGAAAATACGTTTTAAGTGCCGTGGTTTAAACTCTATTAATTGAATTTTTGTTTAAATAATTAACCAAGTGAAAATTAAAGGATATCAACAGTTCTTTATATAAAAAAAAACAGTAAAAGTTAAATATGAAGGACTTCGGAAAAATGTTCTCGAGTCGTTATAGTGCGGTTTGTGTAAGCGAAGACGATGAAATTAATCAGCAGCAGTCAATGACGACGACAGATTCAACAGGCTTTCAATGCATTGATCCTGCAACAACAACAACCGCCATAGCTGCATTGCATCGTGCGCAACGCCGAAAGAGTCTCAAGGTAAATCGTTCTATGCATCCAATGAGTATTTTGAGCGGCTTTTTCATCGAGACAAACCAAGGAAACCGAAACAGAGTGCCTACGCGTGAGTTTTGCCAATAATTTATTCGAACAAACTAAGGTATTTTCCATTAAGTAGTTCCACCTTAAACAGTAAATCACCTTTGACGCTTTTGCTACACGCGAAACAATAAGCGCCTATAAAATGACATCCAAATTGTTTAGCATAGCACTTTATACTTCTTGCTGCTTGAAGCAACAATCAAAATATGAAACGGTCGTACAAAAGCAATTCGACAATGACATACATAGTTTGTTCAAAGTCTTCTCGAATTATCTTTTATCAATAAAAAAAAAATACAAACATTGACTATAATATGAAATTGATTTTTAGTTGATTTCGACCCTGAACTTGCCCATCAAAAGATTAAAATATAACCCACTTTCCATATTTGTATGTATAAACCAAGGAAAAATGCGAGTTTCAAATTACATGTGATGATCACTAGTTTAAATGCCTAATGATAGCGAAAACGAATTTGATTTGAAATTAGTAATTTAATAGAACTTGAAAACCACTGATTTATCTATTAAAAGATAAATATATTATTTTTTTTATTTTTATTTTTTTACTATACATATGTAAATATATTCCTACGTATACATTTTGATGATACTTACGTATACATTTATGTATGTACATGTACAGCGCTTTCGAAAGGGATTTTTTTGGTTGAAAACAATCACCTCTTTTCCACAACCACTTTTGTTCAATTCATTAATAATTAAATAAAAATGAACATCTTGTCGGTGTAAACTATTGGTGATGAACCCGCTGCCACGCCAAAAATATTCAATTTCAATTTCGGTGACGAAAAAATTCCATGTACATATATATGTAGGTGCACAAAATTATACATAACAAGAAAGGAAAGATAACTTCGGGCGGAGCGAATGTTGAAATACCCTTGCAGTTAAAACCGGATATATATCGCAAAAATCGGATGTAGTGGGGCGATCATTATAATATCACAGGCTGATCCTGTCCGTTTCGACTTATATACTGCGTGCAAAAGAAAGAAGGGTGTTTGCAAAGTTTCGAGTCGATAGCTTTATAACTGAGAGACTAGTTCGCATAGAAACAGACAGACAGACGGACAGACGGACATGCTCATATCAACTCAGGAGGTGATCCTGATCAAGAATATATGTATATAGAATATATGTCTCCCTCACTGCGTTGCACACGTTGCCTTGAATTATTGATCGGGAATGCCATAACTTTAGTTCTTTTAGAGTTAGAGAGTTGGGATAGAGAGTTTGGTGCTTTTAGGGTTAGAAAGCAAAATATTATGCCATACCAAATTTTATAAGGATCAGTCGAATTATTTTGGCAAATCTACCGAATTTAAGCTGTAATGTAACTGAACGATCGAAATTTGGTAAAAATAACAACTTTGCCATTTTTGGAGATATAAGACTGGGATAAAAAAAAATTTTTTTTCTAACACATTAGATTTATAAGAATATTCTTGAACCGATCGACTAATTATATCCGATATTTGTGATTTATATCCGATCTTAACTTCAAGGGTATAATAACTTTGGCTCCGCCCAAAGTTAGCTTTCCTTTCTTGTTAAAAAAATTGTATGTCAAATAATTCATCCAAAAATATAAACAAATAAATATACATATACGCGAACTAGTCTCTCAGTTTTAACGCATAATGATCGGCCAACTACATCCGATTTTTGCTATATATATCCGGTTTTAACTGCAAGGTTATATGAACTTCGCTTCCGTCCGAAGTTAGCTTTCATTTCTTGTTTTTTTGTTTTTAACATTTCTTTTTTCTATCTTTTACATTATTTACTTTGAACAGGAACTTATAAGGATTTTAAATTGAACACTATTAACATAAATTTTAATTATTTTATAAATATAAAATTATTTTTACAGAAATTATAATTATTTTATAAATATAAAATAAATTTGAAAATTTAGGAGGATTCATAGAAAACACAAACGAAATTAAAGAATATTATTTCTTAAATCTTAACATAACTCTTAAATCTTATTATCTTAACTGAAATAAGTTGTCGATTATTTTAACAAGCAATTATAATTATTAATTTATAAAAACTAAATAAGTTTAACTAATATTAAGATAAATTGTTAGAGTATTAATTAATCTTACTAATAATTATTGTTTCTATTAGCAATAATAGTAAGCAATCCATTTTATTTGACGGAACAGCGAATCTAAATAAATTTTTTCGATAGCAGTCCATTGCCCAACAATGGCTTCTTTCAATTTTTGTAAGGTATTGCTAAGAGCAATATCCGATAAAAATATCCAGTCATCGTCATAAAAATCTATGCCGACTTTTAGCGAGTCTGACGTGAATAAGTGGATAACACTAATATTTCTGACTTCCATTCGGACCATCCAAATAAGCTTGTTTTATCACTCCAAGTCACTTTATAGAAAAAATATTATAAAGCTTATGTTTTTACTATGTATGTATGTATATTTATGACCGCGCAAAAACTTTTAAGTCCGCATAACTTTTTAAGTGGGCTTCGCAAAGAATTAAATGTCATATTTTACTTATTTATTCCAAGACGACAGATAATTTTATTTACATATGCAAGTACAAAATTTTAAGAAAAATGTATGAATAGAGCCTGAAACAATAACAATGGTAACAGTAAGTAATTGAACACAGTTTAAATCTAATTTTGTCAAAAATTCTAACAATAATAAGCAGCAAAAATATTGTACAAAAGTTCCCGGAAAAATTTGAGACAGGTTCTGGTTAGAGTACGTAGTATGCTTTTGTTTCTTTTTATTTGTTTACCTGTTTCTATATACGTCCTTCGTCTGAACCGCCCACATACTGGGGTCATTTGTCCGCTATTCAATTCGATTTTAATTGTATGTCCGATTGTGACCATCTTGAAGCTTTGGGTGACTTTAATATTCCAGAACTGAATTGGTCCAATTTCGAGAACTCATTATCTTTATCACATTTCGCGGGCATGTTAGGCTTGTCCCTAGGTCAAATTAACCATGTTAGAAATTCGTTAGGTCGGCTATTGGAGTTATGTTTTGTATCTGATCCTAATGGTACCACTCTTTCCAGAGCTTTGCCCCTTTTAACGCCAGAGGAACCGTATCCCCCCTCACTTGAGGTTTCAATTGGAACCATTTCTGGTATCGATCAGAAGTTTCCTTGCGTGGCAAACAAGATTCGCGGTTCCCGTAAGGCTTATTTTCACAAACATAATAGCCTAATCAATACATTTCGATGTTTCCCCATAAGTCGGATGCTAACGACTATAGAGATCCCTCTAAATTGTTGGCAATTCCAAAGTTATTTGAAAAAATATACACTGCTCATGTGCAACACCTTTGCTCTTCGATCATTTCACCATGTCATCAAGATTTTATTAGGCGTCGCTCCAACACTACTAATTTATTGAAGATGACATCCTTTGTCATAAATGGTTTCCGAACGGGATGATTTCACTGCCTACAGACTTCCTAACGTGGACTCAAGCTTCTTAGACAGAAGATCACGAAGAGCTTATTAAAAATATACATCCCCGCTTGGTCTTGCTACATCTGGAGTCCCTCAAGGAAGTCATTTGGGCCCATAAGTGTTTACTCTTTTTATACCCTTGCAAAGGGCACTATATTTTGCCTTCCGTTCTTGTTTTTAGTTGAAATGCGTACGATTGGTCGCGTGCGACATTCGAAAATTGTTCATATGGAATTATAAACACCACATGGAATTATATACACTTACCAAATGAAAAGTCCCTAGAATTGTCCCTAGAATATATATTTCTGTTATTTATGCAGTGGCTGTTATTTATGCAGATATTTCGATTTGATTTATAATTTTGATTTTTAAAATAAAAAAAATCAAGAATTTTATAATTTGATTTTTCAAATAAAAATCAGAAATAATTTTTAAATATTTTTAGACCCATTTTTACAGGGAATCGATTAAATTTATCTTGTAGCCCAAGGACAATATTTTAAATTTCATGGTCAAACAAGTACAAAAGTTCCCCTTCCAACATATTTTGTTTTTATTTTTTTTCTTTATAAAGCATGTTTTTCATAGATTTTGAGCATTAAAAGATACTATATATACATATATACAAAGAATAAGAGAAAAATGCCAATGGTGCAATGCAACTAAATACTACGCTTAATTTATGTAGTTGTTTTTTCTAGTTTTTGCTTTTGCTTCAGTTTTGTATATTTTTACCCACAAAATTCTCACGTACGACATTGAAAAGTAAAATTTTACTTAAATAAAAATAAAAATTTAATTTAATTTTAATTTAATAAAAATTAAATTAAAATAAAATTCATTAAAAGTAAAATTGTTTCTACGCGAACTAGTCTCTCAGTTTTAAAGCTATCGACTTGAAACTTTGTACACACCCTTCTTTCCTTTGCACGCAGTATATACATACGTCAGAATGGTCGACTATATCCTATAGCTGCCATATAACTGATTGATCCGAAAATGGTACAATTTTGGTGTTTTTAGAGTTAGGGAGTTCAAATTTTAAACGAGAGCTATTCTTTCTAAATAATATGACATACCGAATTTCATAAGGATCGGGCGACTACATTCTATAGCTGCCATATAACTGAACGGACATGTACATATAAATAGATCAAATTAGAATAAAATAAAAACTTTTTTGTTCATTTTTTGAAAGTACTAACTGACTTTAAGGAAATAATGTCATGTTCTTTTAAACCCTGTAATCATAAAGTACAAGGGTATGTATTGGTTTAAAGTGGGCACCTGATATGTTGGCTTAATCTCACGGCCCCCTTCACGGATTTGAAACTACTGTCAATACTGAAATTTTTTGGAAACGACAGTTCAAAAAGTTTTAGGAAAATATTTTGATAAATAAGTATGTAAATTCAAGTTTAGCCGAATCAGAAATCTTTAAGAGGACTAATGACTTTTTATTCTTTTTCACTAGATTTATTAAGTTGTTATTTCCAAAAAAAATGTTCGCGGGTGGTACGGGTTGCTATGGTGTGGCGTGTTCAGAGTATGAATGATAATAATTATTCAAAAACGATCTATCTTTGTGGGTGGCAAAGCCAAAAAGTTAAGCTACTTACGTGATATGAAGGCTAAACAAAAGCTTGATTTAGTAAAAAACCAAAGCATTTAAAATGCCAAGCATAATTGGCATTGCTTTTTCTTTAATTGTTTTTTGTTTTCTTTGGAAAATTTTGATATGTTTATTGTTAATTTATTTTTCAATATTTATCATTTGTATGTATAATAATTTATAGCAAGAATAATCGTTTAATCATTTAAATCTTTATAGGATGTCTCCTTCGCTGCGTTGCACACTTTTGGACAAAATTATAATATCCTCTGCAAGGGTACAAAAATGTTACTATTGTACAGTGGGGACGCAGAATAAAAAGTTTAAAAAAGTCGGATGATTTGGCCGTTTGATAGTAATATGATATACGATGTAAAAGTATATATAAACTGGCCTAAGGAATAGTTTGGCAGTTTCATTTACAAAAATCTTTCTGAACTGGAGCTACATCAGGGGGGAAACTCGTTCTGCGTGAGCGTACGTGCCTATCGAAATCGCACTATCACTTATAATATTAAGTAAATATGTAGAAAATCTTATGTAAATAAGATAAATTTATTTAATTTTATCTCAATATGTACTGCTCGGTTATACCGGACATTGTGTCGCGAACAATAATTTTTTACCTTTGAGAGCTTTAGATTAATGCATATGCAGTTAAAAAATAACAAGAACGACCATACATTGAGAAATATAGATATGTATTTATAAATATATATATATATATATATTTACATACATATGTATGTACATAAGTTGTTTTGTTGCTTTAACGACTAGTGAAGAATCTAGGCAGTAGACTTTTAAATTCCAGCCGGTTCAGGCCTCTTCGTATAGAACTGGAAAAGAAATAATCAAACAAGGTAATTAGCAATCAGATCAGGTTCCCTTTGCCTGTTTCATAAATAACTTGGTTGCTTGGCAGATCGGATGGCGAATTCTCAAACGCATATTACCAGGGCCGGATTTTGACGATTTTCCGTCCGGGGCATTTGCGACTCCACGCCTCTCTCTTCTTATATCAATATAGGAACAATAGCTTTTATAGCATTGTAAGCATTGAGCCTATGCCATAGACGCACATAATACTATCATTTTACATATCGAATTCATGTGCAGATAAGACAATAAATAAATCATAAGCCATACACTATTTTAATACTTATAAGGTAATTTATCAAATATTTTTCGTCTTAAAATGTATTACTTTGGTATTATACATTTTACAAAATTAAATTTATAACACACATTCGCAGACCAAAACACAAATTGACGGCTATAGTCGAGTTTCCCGACTATATTATACCCGGTACTCATCTTTTCCACCTATAATTTAACTAACCTTTAAAGTTTAAACTTTAACGGTATGAATTCTCCGCAAAACATTTTGTTGTATACTTTTGCGCTTGGGCAAAACCACAACAACAAACCTACGGCAATACTACCGATTGAGTAGGGAAGCAGACTAGCAATTGAAACAGTTCGCCGTCAAATCATTTTCAAAAAACAGTAAAGAACTGGCGCCAACACTACATTTCTGTTTTGAGAGCGGAAGTGGGCATGGCAAAATTTTGACACAAACTTGATTTGCGCGGATACTATACTATTCAAAGTTCCAAATTGGATAATTTTATCTATCTTATTTTGAGAGATTCACGCGTTTGAAAGTTAGGCCCGTTTTTATGGAAATTTGTATATGTATTTATTGGTAGTATTCTCATAAGGATCGGCCAACTATATCAGATATGTTAATATATATATATATATATTTATATATATATATGTTAATCTTATGTACGATTGTGACCAGCTTGTAGCTCTGGGCGACTTAAATATCCCAGAACTAAATTGGTCTATAAGTCGATAAATTACCATATTTATCACATATCATACACCATAATTTCACCGCGGGCATGTTTGGCATGTCCCTAGGTCACATTAACTATGTTAGAAATTCGTTAGGTCGGCTATTAAACTTTTTTTTTTAATCTGATCCCAATGGTGCTACTTTTTCCAGAGCTTTGCCCCTTTCTTAAGAAACTTGAGGTTTAATTGAAACCATTTCTGGTATTGATCAGGAGTTTCCTTTCGTGGCAAATAAGGTTCGCTGTTCCCGTAAGGCTGATTTTCACAAACTTAATAGCCTAATCGATACATTTCGATGTTTCCCCATAAGTCGGATGCTGACGACTACAGAGGAACCTCTAAATTGCCGGCAATTCCAAAGTTTTTTGAAAAAATATATACTGCTTATGTGCAACACCTTTGCTCTTCGATCATTTCACCATGTCATCAAGGCTTAATTAAGCGTCGCTCCAACGCTACTAATTTATTGAAGATGACATCCTTTGTCTTGGATGGTTTTCGAACGAAATTTCACTCACTTCCTAGATGGAAGATCACAAAGAGTCTTATTAAAAATATACATTCCCGTTTGGTTCGTGCTACATCTGGAGTGTCAAGGAAGTCATTTGGGACGATTAGCGTTTTCTCTTTTTATTAATGATTTACCCAATTACTTGCTTTAATGAACTTGTTAGTACTTATGTATTAGCGTATGTTTGTACTGCACAATTCAGTCCGATCTCGAAAATTTTCTAAAATGGTGTTTAGCGAATGGCTTAATTCTTAATAGACCAAAATTGAAACTTAAGACTTTTTATCGGTCTTGCCTCTCTAGGCTACGTACTTACTTTATGGGATTGCCTTATAAAACTAACCCAGGGTAATGATTATTAGAGTCAAAACTCTATTAGACTCAAAACTCAAATATGGGGACCATATTTCCACAACGGTTAATAAGGCTAAAGGTGTCCGTGGTTTTATCCTTGGACCCATATATTACTAAAATTTTACTTATTTCTTTGGTCCGTCCGATACTGGAGTACGGTTCATGTGTCTGGAGTGCCCAATACACCAAGAGTACATCAAGACCGCCTTAAATCCGTACTAAAGAATTTCTTAACATTTTCTTTAAGAGGTCTTAACTGGGATGCAAATATTCATCGTCTCTCTTATCGACTTACCCCCCTTAAGTCGTAGGAAATGTGTCGCTTTTCTACATTTACTAACGCGATTACATTTTAATATTCCTAGTAGAAAGACTAGAAACTTTAGTCCCTTATTTCTTAGCTATTATAGTTTGACGATGTATGGATGATGTATGATGTATGGCCAAAACGACTTTCTTAGGGTCTCATGTGCAAACACAATGGTCTCTACCCAATAATCTCTCTTTCCAAATTCAGAAATAATTTTTTTTGGAACAAAAATACTTTCAGAGAAAAATCGAAAAATCTATCGCGAAAATTTACGTCTTTTATCAATAATGCATATAATGGAGATGCGCTTTTCAAAAGTGAGCAGTTGTTTATTTTTTAGTGCACCTAGTTTTTGAACTAAAAACAATTAACTGTTGTCAATAACAAAAATTGTTTTTTTTAATAATATTTTGTTAGTATTTAGATTTGGAGACTGCCTTTGAGACGACGCAACGTTAGATATACCTGTTTACTCAATATACCTATAGCCCAATAAGTAATTCGTTTGCTTCGGCTGCGTCTTTGGTTTTCGGAAGCATAAGCACAATGCTCTTTTTAAAAAGTCTCTGTGACAAACTTCGACACTAGTTTTAAAAACATTAGCTGTTTTTGTATTAAATTTTAATAATAGCGACAATTTTATATACATTTATGATTTTTTTTCGATAACTTTAGCTTTTTTGAAAAAAAAATATTTATTTTATTGTATTTATTATTTTATTATATTTATTATTATTGATAATAAAATACTTTACGTGGTCATGAGTAAAAATGAAAGTGTAATTTTCAGAGGGTATTATATCCTTTTGTCCGTCTGTTTGTCTGCTTCTATCACGCAGTATAAATAACCCGGACAAACATTTTTGATCATATCTTTTTAAGGAACTGTTTTGAGAAAAAATGCAGATGCACAACTATTAGATAGGTATTGTGTTAACATATATTCAGCCTGTTTCGAAGTGGCTTCCTTGGGCTGCGTCTTCTTCCGATAATCGATCCCATTCTCGGAGCAATGATTGCTTCAACGCCTCCAAACTTATGTGGCGTTTAGCACATGCCCTGGACTCCAAAATAGACCACACACTGTAGTCCATCGGATTAATATCTGGCGAGTATGGTGGTCATTCACTGGATGCGATAAAGTCCGGAAAATTGGCTTTGCACCAGTCCTGAGTCAATTTGGCTCTATGTGCTGGCGCTGAATCCTTTTGAAACGTCCACTCCGTATCACCGAAGTGCTGATGGGCCCAAGGAAGCACAACAGTTTCCAAAATATTGCAATGGAGGTACACTTCCTGATTGATTTTGACCCCTTGATCGATGAAAACAAGGGGTGTTTTGCCGGTGGCGCATATTCTTCCCCAAACCATTTAAGGCTGCTCACATTGACGGCTCTCGATTATTGCAGAGGTACCTGGAGCTTTAACAGACCAGCTTCTGTCATTTTGGTGATTGCGCGCCTGTTGGATGGTGAATATCTTCTCGTCCGTGGAAAGAATAGGCTCCCATTTTGACCTGCGGCCCGACGCTTTAGCTGACGGCATCTTTGGAGTCTCACGCGCTTATTGTCATCCGTAAGAAGATGCACTTTTTGGAGCTTGTAGAGCTTGAGATTAAGTTAATTTTTTGCAATCAACCGAACACTTTCTCGATTCACTCCGATTTCACGGGCTATTTTTCAGACCGAGACTCTGCAATTTCGAGTGATCCGCTTTTTCACGATCTGGCGAATTCTGGAAGTGGTAGCGGTGCATGGTCTGCCTCGTCCGGGACGGTCACCTTCATGGCCAAGCTCATTAAATCGCCGGATAGCGTCAGAGACTGTTTGGTATGCAAAGCAAACGAACAATGTCGCATTGGCGATTTTTTTGTTGATACAGTTTTAAAATTGCACAACGATTGTTAAACATCCCAAAACAAATATCAAATTGATGGGAAAGTACAAGCTGTCGATAAATCCATTTATTTAAGAGCTGCATCATAAAAGATTGCTTCAAAGTTTGTCCGGGTTATTTATTGTCACCCTGTGTATGCTGGAATGTGGTCGGCCGACTTATCCTATAACTTGAAACTAACTTATCCTAGAACGATGGAAAATTACCCAACGTTGGTATCTTTGAAGGTAGAATAGTGGGACTTTTACACAATTTTTTAATCCAACATATTGGTTTAATTATACCCTTTCATAGGGTATTATAATTTTTGTCAAAAGTGTGCAACGCAGTGAAGGAGACATCTCCGACCCTATAAAGTATCTACATTCTTGATCAGGATAACCTTCTGAGATAATATGAGCATGACAACTGGTCTAGTCTCTCAGTTTTAAAGTTATCGACTTGAAACTTTGCCCATACCCTTCTTTCTTTTGCACGCAGTATAGAAGTCGGAGCGGCCGGGATGGGTCGACTATATTTTATAGCTGCCATATAAATTTTCCGATTGATCGGAAATCTCATAGCTTTGGTGTTTAAAGTTATAAAGTTGGGATTTTATATGGATTTTATTTTTGGCAAATGTGATGAGACATATGATACGACATACCAAATTTTATAAGGATGGCTATCAGTGGCGGATACAACTATTTTTTCTTGGATTTTAGCATCCATTAGCTCGATTTTTCTGGTATATTTATTATTGAGCCCTTCAATATCTATCAGATCGAACACTGTTTCTATTTTGTTGAGAAAACACATTTTTAAATTTTTGATTCCTTTTGGGAAGGTTTCATTTTTCCTTTTTAATTTGACATTTTAGGGGTTATATACCTTTTTTATTTTTAAAAAATCGAAAATTTTTTTATTGTTTTATCTTTAAGAACAACTCCTTGAGAACATTTTCATAGAGATTGGAGCAGTAGAACAAAAGTTACAGCGCTCCTAACCGCGCGCCTTGTCGCCGCCTTGAACTGAACTTGAAACTTTAAACGCGAATATCTCGAAATGGTGTTTTTAAAAAAAAAATTACTTTGCGGTGACATGAATTGGCGGAAAACTACTGAACCGATTTACTTCAAATTTTTTTTTAAATGTTCATAATGAAATTCTTCTGTGCTTGAACGATCGACTTTTCACGCACAAACTTTTTTTTCGCCGAAATGAATTTTTTAGTGAAATTTCTAGAGACCAAAAAGTTCATTTTTAGCATTAAACGTTCCCGTATGCATAAAAAAACAAAAAATTTTAAAACCGATCGTTCAAGCACAAGGAATTACACTAAACTAATGAAATTTTTTTACTTTTATGGTCTTAGTTGACCTGTTTGACCTGAGGAACTGTCACCGCAAGGCTCTAAAAAAAAAAGCCCCTAAGGGAAACAGCCACCCCTTAAAAACTATTTAATATTTTTCCACGAAATTTCGGACAAACATTGTTAATAAAGTGTACTATCAAAAAATTAAATCATCCGTGTAATTAAATAATTGCTACATACCTAAAAAAAAAATCCAAACTTTCCTCTTTTTCTTCGACAAAGAAGGTATATAACCCCTTAATTTTATCCTTATTTGACACATTTTTTTTTTTAATTTAAATTTAAGTTTTAAAACTAACTTGCAGAGGACTATAAGTTCTAATTTTTGCTGCTGCTGATGTTGTTGTCGCTGCGGTTGCTGCTCCTGCCTGATGTTGTCGCTGCCGTTGCTGCTCCTGCTGATGTTGTCGCTGTGGTTGGCTGCTGGTGATCTTGATGTGGGGTTGCCTTCGCTGTTGATGCCTTTCTCGATGCCGCTGCTGTTGCTATTGTTGCTTTTTGTATGTTTTTTGTGGATGTTTTTTTATTTAATTTTTGTGGATGGTTTTTTTTTTTACCTTCTGTGGATATTGTTTGGTTTAATTTTGGGGTTTTGTTTCATTTATATTTTTTTTCTTATGTTGTCCACAATCACTACGTACAAAATTTATACACTTTATATAACTTTTTTTTTAACTTTTCCAATGTAGGGCCTCAGATATTTTTATATAGTTTTTTATTTCCGAGTTGTTCCGAAACAAAAACACACTATTTCTTTATGCTCATTGGCATTTATAATTTTATTCTCTGTGTTCCTTACCTCTTGGGGGGAAACAACAGAGGACTACGATTTTTAAACTGGGCTCTTTTTTACCTAGATCGTAGCCTTATTTCTTTAGCTACCCTGGGCTGAGAATTTTTATTTTTCTACAGCCACTTAGGTGCCAGTTTAAAACCTGAGTCTCTTATCACAGGGGGGGAAAGTCAAGATGTCTCGAAGGACCAAATGTTAGGAGAAGCCCCAAATAAAGGACTTACTCTAATAAGTTCCGGTTTGAAACTGTTTTTATTTTGTACAATTCTCTTATAAGAAATATACATGAAAATCTTAAATCTATTATATTTAAAACTACTTAAATCTATTATATTTAAAACTACTGATCAACGCAAGCTGACTTGCTATGCGACCCTTTTTCAAGTGCGATAAGCGCACCACTTATGTATGTATTTGAGTTAGGCTGCAGGGGATCGGTTTTAAACCATGCTGTTTGTCTCATATTTCCATGGGTCCGATCCCTTGAAACTCTATCTTCAGAATTTGTATATACAATCGTGTTCAATGCTTGTTCAAAAATTTCTATTTCTAGGTACATTTTTACTGCTAGCAGTCGGGTTTTTGGCCATAACAACCGCGGTGCTGGTAAAAGTATTTCAGCCCTATGATTTAATATTTAAATGGGTAATATTTTTTATAATTCTTATATTATTAGTTACATAAACATAGATAAAAATAATAATAAAAACAAGAACGGAAATATAATTTTGGTCGAAGTCGAAGTTAATATACCCTTGCAATATCGCAAACATCAGATATAGTGGCCCATCCTAACGAGAATTTCAATATAAAACCAATTTCCTAAAAAACAAAATACAAGCCAAGCTTCTATTTTCAAAAATACCAAAAATGTGTTATTTCCAATGGTATCCCGATATCGACTTAGGAGGTGATGGCGATGGTATCCCGATATCAACTGATCAAGATCCTGATATATATACCTTATAGGGTCGGAGATGTCTCCTTCAATGCATTGAACACTATTGACCAAAATTATAATACTCACTGCAAGGGTATACAAATTTATCTACATTAAAATTAGACTTAAGACTAAACATCTTGGTTTACCCTTGCTATTTTTCCCTTTCATTATTTTTCACCAATTGATCCGACCTACCAAATTTTAAAGGGACCGGCCGACTATATGCTATAACTGCCGGAAACGATCGGAACTGACCCAAATGTATTTTTATATAAAACGTTGGGACTTCCTAGTAGTCAGTTATAAATCTATAGACTTGACACTTTGCACACAGTATATAAGTCGGAACAGTCCCCGACTATATCGTATAGCTTTCATATACTTGAACGATCGGAAATGACCAATGCAAATGTGTTTTTGAAGAAAAAAAGTTGGAACTTTCTACAGATTATTTTTTTGGCCAACTGATCATGACGACCCAACTTCATAAGGATCAGCCAACTAAATCCGATATTTACGATATACATCCCATCTGAACAGCATGTGTATATCAACTGCGACTCCGCTTAAAGTTAGCTTTTATTTCTAGTTTAAATTTAAGTTCACATATAAAGTAAGCTTGGTGTTCTAAACCTAATTAAGAGGCTTTACCATTTAAAAATGGTCTTCAATCTTAAAAAATTTGCAATATTAGTTTATAAAACTTCTTAAAAAATATTTTCTATGCCCTTTGCAGAAGTTAATAATGGATGAAGGGGGAGAAATTTTCAACCTTTGGGCACAACCACCTGTTGATTTGTATATAAAGATTTATCTATTTAATGTAACAAACGCCGCAGACTTTCTGGCGGGTCGCGAACAGCTAAAAGTAGAACAAGTAGGCCCTTATGTGTATAAGTATGTCCATGTTATTATACTATGTTAATTTCCCGCTAAAGAAAAAATATTTATAGAGAAATAATGACTCATGAAAATGTAGTATTCAATGAGAATGATACAATGTCTAGCACACCTAGTCATCCATTAGTCTGGCAACAGCACTTATCTGAAGGACGACGTGAAGACGATCCGGTTGTAATGCTTAATATTGCTATGCTGGTGAGTAATATTGTTAGCTTATATTTAATTTTTAAAGTTTATAAAACATATTTTGATCAAAAGTTTGCAATGCAAAACGTCCGTCTGTTTCGTCGGAAAATATTTCCACTTTCCTCGCCATATCGGGATCGGGATCATATGAGCGATCGTTTGACTTTATCTTTAAGTTTCCATATAAGTGAAATTTCGTAAAAAATAAAATTGGTTTCATACTAAAATTAAAATAAGGTTCATATAACTTTACCTTATTTCACTGTGGATGTAGTCCACGAGGGGACGAACAGCATGCCTTAGAGTGCGATATGTAATCGACACATTAACAACTTTCTGTGTGCGTTCTAAAGTGTACTGTTTTAATCAGACCACTTTTATGCAAACATTTTTCAAAAGTCGTTTGGTTTGGGGGAAACTTGGGTGAAAATTAACTAACAAGTTTGGATTCACTAATTTGGGACTAGTAAATACATTAGAGCTCCCAAAAAAAAATCTTTTTCTTTAATCACATTCTACTCTTGAATACCCGTCGACACCTTTTTCCCAAATGGACTCCAACAATTTGATTTATTTTACTGTAGTAGATAGCCTCGAAACCTTATTGAAATAAATACATGTCCACTATTTTTTTTTAAATACTAAAATATGAAGTTTTTTTTAGAATAATTTTGGGAATGCAGACATAAAAGGAAATAATTTGGAGACATAAAAAACTAACACTTTTTTTGAAAGTCAAATAACGAAATCATAAGGTATATTTATGGTAAATAATTATACATTCATTTTACAGCTTTCCACTCTAGTCTAATTTATTTGTACTAAAGTAAAATGTAATTTCAATTTAATATTCAATACATTTTTCTTTATTTTTAAAACTAAATAAGGCGCTTTGGCTTTGATTTCACTATTGAATTTCAATTTTATCAATTTTTCAATTTTATTTTATGAATTTCAATAAATTAATTTTCAATGTTTCAAATGGCCTTCTGTTTTAAAAAACTCGCACAGAGAGGATCCCAAAACTCCAAACACACAATTCAGATGTGCTATGTTTTAGTATCTTATGTTTGAAGTTTTTTGAATTTTTGTGAATTTAGAAGGATTTTATTTAATTTATAACGGTAATTGTAAAGTGTCATAAACTTTATAGAACAAAAGATGTTTGTGTAATAATAATGCTCAATTTTTTGAGATTGTTCTGTAAAAGAAACAAACCCACAAACGGATGGCAAAACTAGACCAACATTTTTTTTAACGATTTGAGATATTTGAGAATTAGAATTTCTACAATTTCCTAAATGTCTTAATGTCTAATTTCTTAAGGGGTTATATACAGTTGTGATATATGAAAAAATCGATTTTTTTTTTTTATTGCATATTCTTTAAGTATATTCTATTGGGAAAACTCTCACTAAAATTCATAACGATCGGAGCATTAGAACCGAAGCTGTAGCTATTTCTAGAGCACTATCTGCATATAAAACTTGAAAAAACTTTAAACTTTAAACGCGATTATCTCAGAATCTTTTTTTTGGGAAATTACCTTTGCGGTGGACACGATTACTAAAAAACTACTAATCCGATCAACACCAAATTTTGACCACTTATTTATTATGATATTAGCTAGTCCGTGAACGAGGGATTTTCAATTTTTTTGAAAACTCCTTTTTTAAAGCACAAAAAACGAAAATCTTATACGTTGAAAAAGTACATTTTTTGTTAAAAACGTCGCCATTTTTTTTTAAATCAAAATTTTTAAAAATCCCTCGTTCACGGACTAGACAATACAATATACTAACTAAACTTTTTTTGAATTTTGGATTTCGGATGAACCGTTTTCGAGAAATCATGTCCACCGCAAGACACCATCGAAAAAAGACGATTCGGGAATCCGGCTATAACATTTTTGTTATGTAATATTTTTTTATGAAAAAATTTAATTAAGTACCCAAGAAACATGTACTAAACCACGTCGGTAAAACATTTTTCATAAATATTTTCTATGGTGTCAAAAAAAAATCGATAAAAATCCATATTTTTGCGTGGTACAACTGTATATAACCCCTTAAGGGGTTACGCCACCCTGAAATTTTCAAAAAATTTCAAATTTTTTTTTACTTAATTTAAAAGACTATATTCTTACGCGTATTTTAAGACGTCCCCGAAGACAATATCTTGATAATTATGGAAGTTATGTTTACTTGAAGTCGGCACGGCAGGAGGGCACCTAAGACACTTCTTTTTCTTCTTTTGCGTTTTTCTCGAAACCACTTTTTTCAAGACGGTGGGCATGATAACTCAAAAACTGTTCAACCGATTGACTTTAAAATTGAAACACATCTTTTTCATAGATTTTCCCCAGAGTGACGTAGGATTTTTTCGATCCAATGGATAGAAATTTTTTTAGTACGAAATTTTTTGCCCAAAAAATTGAGTCAATTTTTGAAGTGCTCTCATTTGCGTAATTTTTTTTTTCTTAAACGGCTACGTCACTCTGTTCCAAATTTATCACTTTTTAAAAAAAAATTTTGTTTACTTGATTGAGATAAAAATTGAAACGTGAATCATGCCCACCATCAAGGAGCACTCCGGAAAAACCGATGATCGCCGATGTTCATATCTCCGCCATTTTGCATAGAAAACAAGTTTTTTTTTTTGGAATTTATAAAGCTTAATAGTTGTATTGAATAGAAATAAAAGTGGAAAAATCCTATCTCAACTAGTTTAGTCACAAGAAATTCCTGAAAAACCGTCCCGTTTCCACGCGGTCAGGGTGGCGTAACCCCTTAAATGGTTTTTGACTAATTTTTGGTTTGGGTTGATGGAGGAGTTAAATTAGAATGTTGTTCTAATTTCAAAATAGAACTTTTCAAAACCAAATGGCGCCTAGGCTGTAGATCAGTGGTCGGCACGGCCCTAAACCGAGGGCATAGGAAATTTCTCCTAGGGCATAGAAGGGCATGGGAGGTGATCCTAATCAGGAATATCAAGATCAATAGCCCCCTGCAACGGGGTTTCCCTTGCACGTCCACGGCAACCGGGGCAAAAGCTAAAAGATCAGGTTTTTTGTATGTAAAAGTCTGTTTTAAAATATTTAATAAGAAAAACAAGAAAGTTTTGCGTACATATTTAGAGCAAATAACACGTAATCTGTTGTTTAACGATAACAACACCGTTGGATCGAATCAGAAAATCTTTTCCATATAAAATGTCAGCAGTTCATGTACTGTTATTAACGGAAAACGCGACCTTAATAATAGTCTAGAGGCCGTTTATTACTTAATTTATGAATGCTTGAATAATATAGCTGTCATCGTGAATAATTTTAAAAATGTATATGCATTTTTTAATTGTGCTTTTTATATTGCGTTATACGTATGTCTACGCATCATGTAATAACTTTCGTTTTATATTTTTTTCGGGAATAATTAGTACATTTTTTAAAATTTTTTTTACTCGGATAACAAAATTATTTATACTGTAATTTCCCTGCAGGACTAAGACTCATGTAAATAATACCTAAGCAGAGTAGGCCAACCAATTCTGCCGGCCGACCACTACTCAAAGTTCAAAGTTATGCCTATTCGATATTTGATCCGACTCGGCATAGCTTTCTACGCATTCCCAGGAACAACAGGAACATTTTTCAGTCCCAGTCTCACACGATAGCTTAATATCTTAGAGGCATGCATGCCAATCCAATAAAAGAAAGCACCATGATTAAATTTCCATCTGTGGGTATGTGATGAAAATATATATTTTCTCGAAACAAGAAAGAAAAGCTAATTTCGAGCGGGGCCGAAGTTTATATACCCTCATAGCTGTGATCGGATATAAATCGTCATCAGAATTATATTATAAAACCAATTTTATAAATACACAATTTAAAAAAGTCCAAAGCTTCTATCTACAAAAATTAGTAGTTTTACCAAATACCAGTTATAAAATTTTGTAGGTCGGATCAACTGACCAAAAATAGAATCTGTACGAAGTTCCAACTTTTTATCTTTTAAAAATAGAAAGTTGTGTCATTGTTGGGCCGATTGTTCAGTTATATGACAGCTTATATAGCTAACAGTCAGCCGATCCTTAAGCATAGTATTGAGTTGACGAAAATCCGCTGTTGAAATTCTGATAGCGATTTTGAACTTTATTCGGCTGCCGAGGTAGTGTGACCAAAACAATGAAGAAATAAGGTAATACTGAACAGCTGTTGTTTGTAAACAATAAACAAAAATGAATTCAAAACGATTGGATGTTGGTGTTTTGTTTATGTATTTCGCCGCTAAAAAGCTGATTAAGAAAAAAAAAACTGGGTCAAAATCAAAATAAAATCAATCACAAATCATTTCAATGCCATTTTATGGCATTAAAATGCCCCTTGTGGGTCAAATTCCATATTATGGGCTTCGTCTTGACCGCAGAAATTAATTTTAATTTGTCCTGACCCTCCATGTCACACCTTTAAAAATAAATTGAAATATTTATTTTAACACCCCGAGAGCAGCTGTTTATTTTTTTTGATCCGGCAACACCATTAAAATCGATAACAAAAATTTTCGTCAACTCAGTACCCGCAAAATTTAGAAGGCAAAAATTTCTTCTTCTTCTTTACACCGTTTTTTTTATATGGAGTTTGACAGCTGTCACTCGTTGGACAGCGGATTTTCGTCAACTCAGTACTATGCTTTATGGCTGAAATTTGGTATGTCGTATTATTTTGCTTTAAGGGGGGACATCTGAGTAACAGGGGAAAAAAAACTGCGGATGTTCTGAAATTTTTTTTTGGGCAAATGAAAAAGACAATCAAAAATTTGTAAAGAAGGTTTTACTATATTATATTTAAAGTACAAATAAATTTTTTTTTTAATAAATCTAAAACAAAATGGCGGGTCTGCAGCCTTTATTCGTAGGCCCTATGTTGTTGAAGGGGGTCCATGGCCGGACAGCTAACGTCCTTAATTTTTGATCTAGAACAAAAAATCAAGTTTGGTTTGTTTCTATACATCAAAAGCTATCGACAGCTATAGCTAGCAAAATGGTGAGTGATTAAAAAAAAAAGTTAACCTTTTCACAAAAAAAAAACGTCACAAAATTGTTGATAAAATTATAAATAATATATAAAATAAATATAAAAAAAAAGTCCTACGTCGATAGAAAAAGGTATTTTAAATATACTGTCAAAATCTCAGATCGATAGGTTAAGAGTTGTTTGAGTTATGGTTCCGGCCGTCTCAAAAAAAACGGATTCGAGAAAAACGCGTTTAAAGTTTTAAGCATAGTACTGAGTTGACGAAAATCCGCTGTCCAACGAGTGACAGCTGTCAAACTCCATATAAAACAAGAAAGGAAAGCTAACTTCGGTCGGAGCCGAAGTTGATATACCCTTGCAGTTAAAACCGGATATATATCGCAAACATCGGATATAAATGGCCGATCCTAATGAAATTTGGTAGGTTAGATGAACTGACCAAACCAAAACTAGAATCTGTACCAAGTTCCAGCTTTCTATCTTTAAAAACACAAAAGTTGGGTCAATTCCGATCCTTCAGTTATATGGCAGCTATAGGATATAGTCGCCCGATCCTTATGAAATTCGGCACGTCGTATTATTTTGGTAAAAATAGCTTTCATGTCAAATTTGAACTCTCTAACTCTAAAAACACCAAAGTTATACCATTTCCCATCAATCAGTTATATGGCAGCTATAGGATATAGTCGACCGATCCCGGTCGTTCCGACTTATATACTGCGTGCAAAGAAAAGAAGGGTGTGTGCAAAGTTTCAAGTCGTTAGCTTTAAAACTGAGAGACTAGTTCGCGTAGAAACAGACAGACAGACAGACGGACAGACAGACAGAAGGACAGACGGACATGCTCATATCAACTCAGGAGGTGATCCTGATCAAGAATATATATACTTTATAGGATCGGAGATGTCTCCTTCACTGCGTTGCACACTTTTGGGCAAAATTATAATACCCTCTGCAAGGGTATAAAAAACGGTGTAAAAAAGGAAAGAAGATTTTGCGATTTGTAGATTTTGCGGGTACTGAGTTGACGAAAATTTTTGTTATCGATTTTAATCGTGTTGCCGTATCAAAAAAAATAAACAGCTGCTCTCGGGGAGTTAAAAGAAATATTTCAATTTATTTCTATAGGTGTGACATGGAGGGTCAATTGATCAAACAAAAAAATAGTCGGCCCGAAAAATTTTCGACGCGCCAGGACAAATTAAAATTAATTTCTGCGGTCAAGGCGAAGCCCATAATATGGGATTTGACCCACAAGAGGCATTTTAATTCCATAAAATGGCATTGAAATGATTTGTGATTGATTTTGATTTTGATTTTGACCCAGTTTTCTTTTTCTTAATCAGCTCCTTAGCGGCGAAATACATAAACAAAACACCAACATCCAATCGTTTTGGATTAATTTTTGCTTATTGGTTTTTTGTTTACAAACAACAGCTGTTCAGTATTACCTTATTTCTTCATTTTTTTGGTCACACTAGCTCGGTAGTTGAATAAAGTGCAAAATCGCTATCAGAATTTCAACAGCGGATTTTCGTCAACTCAGTACTTTAAGCTCTGTGGGATATACCTGTGAGGCATCGCCGCAGAATGGAAAATTGCGACACTTTGACATTTTTGCCGGACTCCATCTTTTAATATGTTATTTTTAAGACATAGAACAATTTTTTAAGCAAAAAAAAAATATTCGATTTTTTCAAATTTTTTCCCCCCTTAATTCTAAAAACACTAAACACTGAGTTGACGAAAATCCGCTGTCGAAAATCCGCTGGGAAATCGCACTTTATTTAGCTACCGAGCTAGTGTGACCAAAAAAATTAAGAAAAAGGGTAATACTGAACAGCTGTTGTTTGTAAACAAAAAACCAATAAGCAAAAATTAATCCAAATCAATTGATGTTGGTGTTTTGTTTATGTATTTCGCCGCTAAGGAGCTGATTAAGAAATAGAAAACTGGGTCAAAATCAAAATCAATCACAAATCATTTCAATGCCATTTTATGGCATTAAAGTGCCCCTTGTGGGTCAAATCCCATATTATGGGCTTTGTCTTGACCGCACTAATTAATTTTAATTTCTCCTCGCGCGCCGAAAATTTTTCGGGTCGACTATTTTTTTGTATCATCAATTTTCCCTCCATGTTTCACCTATCGAAATAAATAAAATTAGTTCTTTCAACTCCCCAAAATCAGCTGTTTATTTTTTTGATCCGGCAACGCCATTCAATTCGATAACAAAAATTTTCGTCAGCAGAGTACCGGCAAAATCTAGGAGGCAAAAATTTCTTCTTCTTCCTTTTGGAGTTTGACAGCTGTCACTCGTGCGACAGCGGATTTTCGTCAACTCAGTACTAGGCTTAAAGTTATAACATTTCCGATCAGTCAGTTAAATGGCAGCTAGAGGATATAGTCTACCGATCCCGGCCGTTCCGACTTATTTCGTGCAAAGTTTTAAGTTGATTGCTTGAAAAGTGAAATGACTAGTTCTCATAGAAACAGACAGACATGTTCATATCCACTAAGAAGGTACTCCTGATCAAGAATATGTATACTTTATTCCTTATATTATGTATTCTATGGCTCAGCCAATAAAAATGTATTCCTGCAGACCTCTAATTTGTATGTATGTATGTATCTTATAAAACATGTCACATGGTCAAAGCGTTATTCTCAAACAATTAATATTTTATATTTATATTTATAACCCCATTTGAAAGTATAAAGTAAAAAAAATTTTTTTTAGGCTATATCACATCTTACGGCCAACCATCCGTTTTTTGTTCGAATGGCTTTAAAAACTCTACTTGTGAGTACGAAGTCGGAACCCATAGTTCAAACCACTGCCAAGGAATTCATGTTTGGTTACCCGTCAGCGTTGGCTACATTGGGCAACACCTTTTTACCTAACTGGATATCCTTTGAAAAAGTGGGACTTATAGACCGCATGTATGATTTTTCAACGGACTTTGAGACCTTTTATACGGGAAAGTCAAATCCGGCAGAGTCTGGATTGTATGCAACTTACAGAGGAGAAACAACGTTACCTCAGTGGGAGGATGAGCATTGTAGCAACATTGAACACGCTTCTGATGGCACCAAGTTCAAAAGTTTTCTTTTGCCCAATGAGACAGTAAAGTTTTTTCGGAAAAGCATGTGCAGACCCATCCACTTGGTACGTATGGTAAAAGTATGTAAAAAAAAAGTTCATGAATATACTTGATCCTCAGTACCGAGTTGGTGAAAAGAAAACATTTGGCAGGCTAAGTGGCTACAGTTATGTGTTTGAGGACAACGCTTTTGACAATGGAGTGACCAATACTGCCAACAAATGCTTCTGTAGAAAAGGTAAAGCACTAAAATTTTTTTTTAATTTAAATACAATTTCGTTTTTTAACTTACGCATAAGATTACCTAGTTGAACTTTAAGGAGCGAGCAGCATTGTTCTATCACCAATCGTTATTCATTTTTATACTGCAGAGGCTATCGTAATTTTTTTCAATATTGTGCATTGCAGTGAAGGAGTCATCTCCGATCTCATTAAGTATACATATTCTTGATCAGGATTTCCGCCTGAGTTGATATTAGCATGTCTGTTTGTCCGTATGTCTGTTTCTAAGCAAACTAGTCTTTCCGTTTTAAAGAAACTCTGCACATGCCCTTTTTTTCTTTGTACGCAGTATACATATAAGTCGGATTGGCCGACCTTATCCTATAGCTGCCTAGTAACTGTCTGATTAACTCTAGCCGAGTTAAACTTTCCTAAAGGTTCCCATCGACAGGAGATCATGTTGGCGAGCATGTTGGGTTCCCCGAAATTGTTCCCGTTGATGGTAGTGTTCGTCGTCGAATGGTTCGCCAAAATGCTCGCATGAAATTGAAATCATTCTATTTTGTCTATGTTGACACAACAAGCTCGCCTGTGGATGGGCTGCTTTAGAGATAAGATTCAAGTATAAATTAATTTATTTAAATTTGCAATTGGTATTAATTATTTTATTTACAATTTCTAATTTCACAGGTTATTGCCAGCCTGTAGGATTAATTGACGTCACCGATTGTTACTATGGATTTCCAATATCTCTGAGTTTCCCTCATTTCATGGGGGGCGACGTCGGACTAAAAAAAAACATAACCGGCATGAATCCTGATCCAGCCATGCACTCTTCAGAATTTATAATTCAACCGGTATGTCAATGGCACGCTTGTTAAGAAACCGGTATTATTGAGTGTGATATATTGTTTAGTGTGTTTAGGGACATTTTTTAGGTGAAAAAAAAAATACAATTAAATAAAATATGAAAGGAAGCTGAAGTAAATATTGCAGCTAAGATTTGACAAACATAGTCATTATCGGATAGAGTTTTGCCGATCCTTATGAGAATTTAATTATAAAACCAATTTATTAGAATATAAAATTAAAAAAAAAATCCCCAAGCTTCTATCTTCAAAAATACCATTGGGTCATTTCGGGCCCAAAATAAATTGGGTCATTTTCGATCATTTTCGTTCAGATATATGGCAGCTATGGGATATAGTCGGGCGATCCTTACGAAATTGATAAGGTCGGGTCAATTGGCCAAAAATGTAACGCACCGAAAATTCGCTACTCAAATATTTAAACTTACACTAACAATAAACTTCAAATTCAAAATAAACAATAATAATAACAATAGTAATAGAAATTTATTATACGCCGTACCCGACTACAGCAGCTATCGGATATAGTTGGCTGATCCCAGCTGTTCCGACTTATATACTGCGTGAAAAGCTATAAAACTAAGATAGCTATAAAACTGTGATACTGGTATTAAATTTTTTCGCGCGGGTCCCACAGCATACATACAGCCAACCTCTCGCCCAACCGACCGAGGAGCGCTGCCGAATAACGATTCGGGGGAATAGATCCGAAAATAAAAGTGGAGAAGTTGACGATGAAGAGTGTTGCTCAGATAATAAATTTTGAATTGATGCTTTTAAGTTAAACGAAGAGAAATAGCTAGTTAGGTGGTACACACCATGGGCACGAAGGCAGTCCGATCAGTACTTAGTACTTCAGGAGGCCCCATCAGGATAATGCTGAACATATGTTGAGCTACAATGGCAAAGGGGACTAAGAGACCTAAGGTTTCGAGTCCTTCTATTAGGAACTTTTAAATGTAAGTGTTAGGAATTTCTGCTACATAATTATTAATAAGGCAGTGTAGGAAAACCCCACTCAGCATCGACCTAAGAATTCTCGAAGGGGAAAAGTTTATTAGTAGTAGTCGGCTATGATACGAAAAGAAGCAAAGTTGTGCATTTCAGTGAAATGACCTAAGGGCAAATAGTAAGAACTCCGGGTATCCGTGTTCCGTGTTCTTCAACTGATTTCCTAGGAGGAAAAGATACATGTTTACTAAGTTATAAAAGTGAAAACCTTATCCGCAAGCTGTAAATATAAATTTTCAACGACCTGATCAGGATGTCGAAGATGTAGAGGGGAAGGAAAAGGTCCAAGTTTCAGCTTACGGTTTGCTATGTTATAAAAGTTCTTTGGATCATAAACATAAAACCTTATGGGGATTATGCTGCGCATATGTTAAGCATATGTAACAATGGCTAAGGTATAAACGACTAAAGTTTGTAATCCTTCTATTAAGAATTTTTAAATTATGACAGTAGATGTTGGCTATCTACATAACCATTTATAAGGCTTTCTAATGAAAATATTTGTCTAGCTCGTTTGTTTTGGTAAACTATTATGTTTCCTAAAATTCGAAGATAATTAAAGATGTTTATTTTCATTTTTTTAAAAAACTGTTGTTCTGTACAGTTTTTGTTCTGTGCAGTGTAAAAAAAAAAAACCTTTTAAGTTCAAAAACTCTTAGCTGACGAACCAGTTCCCAAAACTACCATACTTTGTGTCACTTGAAAGGACTTTTAGTTTTCCATTTTACTTTCCTTAAAACCAAACATCTAAATAGTGAAGGAAGAAAATACATTTAACAACATATTTTTTTTTTGTTTATTTTACTTTTGAAGGTAGTAAAATTTGTTCTTGCGATGATGCAAATATTTATATCTCGCTTATATCTGGAATAATCCTCGTTTTTAAAAAGGTGTATTAAGTGAGTCCAGCTTACTCCAACCTTAAAACCTATTATACGTCGAAGAGTAATTAATTCTTTTTCGATTGTAGATAGTCAAACAGGCATGCTCCGGTTTTCGTTTTCGTTTTGAAAACCAAAACGAAAAAATTGGTGCTCCCATTTTCACTTTCACAAGATTTTTTCGAATTCCAAAACGAAAAAATTTGTCTTGCCGAAATGAAAAGTAAATGCCTTTTTCTATATTAAATCGGATCTTATTTGCAAAAGAAAAAAAATAGTTGACTTATTGGTTTATTGTCGTTCTTTTAAGACCTCTAGAAGATCAATTAGGCTTGGTATTATTTTTAAAACGAGTAATTCCTGACCCCACCTCAAATTTGATTATCAAATTTTGCCGTCGGCAACAAAAATTTTCGTTTTGGTGAACGACCGATAAGTTTGACACCATAAGTTATCGCCTAAGCTGCCATACTTTTGATAGAATAAAAAAGCAAGTTAAAAATACTTGTATAATCAAATGGATGGCGATAAATTGAAACCCATTGAAAATGAAGAAAATGAAACCCATTGAAAAGGTGGCATCCCCTTAACTTGGCTTTTCTGGCTTTTCCCCTTAATTCTTTTGGCTACGAAAGATGTAATTGAATATAAAAAGGCATTTTTTCGCGTTGTTTCCTGCTGACCAAACCTCAAATAACCTGTTTCGGCAGCAAGAAGTTATGAGAAATGAAACGTTTCGATAGCAAAACGATAACTAAAAACTTGTGAAAACCGGAGCACCTAAAAACGAAAATCTCGGTTTTGGTCCCAAAACGAAAACGAAAACCGAAAGTAAAAACCGGAGCATGCCTGATAATTGACTTTTTCCCCTTTTTTGGAATTTGAGTTTATAGCTTTTCTCTCTCTTTTTTTTAAGCGAACGGTCGTGTTTTGTGAATCTATTGGGAATCTTAAGTTTTGAGAATGTTAACCTAAGCCGTATCACTTCGCGAATGCTGTGGTATATTTGCAGACTTTTACTAATAAACTTACCTAGCTTAACAAACCGTAGGACAATGCTCGGTGTAGTCTTTCTGTCTAACCTAATTAACGGGGATGTAGATAGCCAGCATTTACTAACACGCTAAAAATTTAACATTCCTAATAGAAGGACTCGAAACTTTAGTCCTCTGTTCCTTAGCCATTGTAGTTCGGCATATGCACTGCATGACCCTTTTAGGGTATTATGTTCGAACTACAATGGTCTCTACTCTATAACATCTCTTTCCTGTCCCTCAAATTTAAAATATAGAATTTTAAATTTCCTTACATACTCCTCCTAGCTTAACAAATTACAAATAGCTTTGGTGCCGTCCATATATTGCGTGACGCGAATTTCAGACTTTTTTGACCCCCTCCCCCCTCTGCGTGACAAACCATGACGCGAGGTTAGAACCCCGTGACCACAAGCCGTGACGTTAACCCGAACCACCTTCCCCTCAGGCGCGTTACGCAATATATAGGCGGCTCCTTAATACGTACTAACAAATAAGCTTTATGATAAATACAGGAATGCTAGCTGATGCTCTTATTGATGCACAAGCCATTTCCAAATTCTAAAAGACCGCGAAAAATAATAAAAAGCTTATAATGCCAAAGTATTTGAAACAGGGTGAAAATAATATAAGTGCGTTCATGCGATATTATAGAAAGCGATAGTTGTATGTATGTAGGGTATTTTAGAGAGGAGGGAGCTGATGCTCTATAAATCTCTATAACAAGCTCTATAAACCAGATCGCATTTAGATCGAAGCGAACCGAATTCATAATTTTTGTGATTTTTTCCGTTGTTTAATGGATACAACAGATTAGGAACCGATTATTCGTCAGTCAACCTAGAAAAACGCATTTAAAAGCAAAATAAAATTAAACTTTCACATGAAGTCTTGGAAATGCTATTAAGTGAAGGAGGGCTTATAGAAGGTAATAAAGAGAATTTCGATGATAGGTTTGAATTAGAATTTAATTTTGAACCGGAAAGATGAAGAGGAAGATGCAGAGGTCTACAGTTAGGTCTAATAACAAAAATCCAAAAATAATAAGAAAAATACAAACTTGAAAAATTACAAACCTCCTGAGTTAATATAAGCAAAACCGTCTGTCTGTTTCTAAGCGAACTAGTTCCTCAGTTTTAAAGCTATCGACTTAAAACTTTTGCACACACCCTTCTACCCTTTACACGAAGTATATAAATCGGAACGACCGGGATCGGCCGACTTTATCCTATAGCTGCCATATAACTGAACGATTGGAAATGACCAGACTTTCGTGTTTTTGAAGATAGAAAGCTGGAACTTAGTTCAGATTATATTTTTGATCAGTTAATCCGACCTACCAACGATCGGCCGACTATATCTTATAGCTGCAATCTAACTGAACGATCGAAAATGGTTTTTGGTAGAAATACCAACTTTGGTAGTTTTGAAGATAGAAGTTTGGGCCTTTTTTTAGATTTTTTATTATAATAAATTGGGTTATATTATCATATTCTCATAAGGATCGGCCAACTATATCCGATGCCTGCGATTTATATCCAGTTTTAACTGCAAGGGTATATCAACTTCGGCTCCCCCGAAGTTAGGCTTTCCTTTCTTGTTTTTAATCAATTTACAATTTTTTTTTCGTACTCGATTATTTTTATTCAAAAGACAAAAAATATGGCGGTGCCACAGACTTTTTTTTTTAAATTTGTACGGCCTATGGGCTTTATTAGTCGAATAAAAAAAACCAAAAAAATACAGGCATAGTTTTATCGTACATTCTAGAATGTATTCGAAACAATTATTAGCTATTCATTCAGATCTCTAATTTAAACGAATAAAATGTAACCTGGTACTCTACGAGTACCGGGTATTAAAAGATGTGGTATAGAACGTACACAAAATAGAAGTCGATTTGAGTTTAAAGCCTAGTACTCTGACGACGAAATTCCGCTGCAACACGTGCGATAGCGAAATTGCTCTTTATTTGGCTACCGAGCTAGTGTGACCAAAAAAATTAAGGAAAAGCCTGAAACGCCATGAAAAGGGTAATACTGAACAGCTGTTGTTTGTAAAACGAAAAACAAATAAGCCAAAATGAATTCAAACCGATTGGATTTTGGTGTTTTCTTTATGTATTTCGCCGCTAAGGAGCTGATTAAAAAAAAGAAAACTTATGGCTTATGGCATTAAAAGGGGCATTTTACTTTGTGGGTCAAATCCCATATGGGCTTCGTGCGGTCAGGGCGTGCGGTTATTAACTTCACTTTATCCTCGCGGGCCGAAAATTTTTCGGTCCGACAATTATATTTCTTTTTCAATTTTCGCTCCATGTTTGGGGTGTCAAAATAAATCAAATTGATCTGGCAACGCCATTTAATTTGACAGCCATCATTTTCGTCGTTAAAGTACCGGCAAAATCTAGGAGGCACAAATTTCTTCTTCTTCTTCCTTTTTTCACACCGTTTTTTTTTATATGGAGCTCGGCCACTGTAACACGTTTACAGCGGATTTTCGTCGTCAGAGTACTAGGCTTAATGTAGTAAACATCACAAATGCGAATTGGGACGGAATATTTCAAAGAGGAAGACATCTATTTCAAGAGGTTAAATTCATAAATTTACTTCTCTCTCATTTAAAGAGGATACATTTACGTATCCATAGGGTGCATTAAAAAGGCTATATCTTCAGTGGCTTATTTAAAATTGAAATAAGTTTCCATAGCGAAAGTATACGTTTTGCTAAAAACGCTAAAAGTCGCTAAAAAAAAGTTGTAATTGTTTTGACCTTTAAAAGGCTGTCTTTTTATTAAAACAAGTATGATATTAAATAAAACGATTGAATTATGAACATTTATATAATTCTATTTACACAAAAATTCGATGATTTTCAACATTCAATTTTGTGGTCATGGTTAACCTGTTTTTGAAAATCCCCATATATACTTTATAGGGTCGTAAAGGTAACCTTTTCTTAAATGTATAAAAATAGCTTATTTGATATAAGCTCTTTTTATAAATTTAAGAAACTAGAACTTTTGACGAGGTAAAAAACCTGTGACGAACCCACACGACAGGGGGAATTCAAAAAATATTCTTATTCGTGCAAGAAAAAACATATATACATATACATATATACATATATAACATATATAAACTACCGATAAACGTAGACTCAATACATAAAAACTACAAACTCTACATATACAATTTTTTCGTCACCAAAATTTATACATATATGATATATTCGTTGCAGCTATTCCAGCCCATTCTTGTACTAAAGGGAGTGACTTATTTATTAAACTTGTGATGCTTAGGCTATGTATCGTATTTTACTTTTAAATGAATTCATTTAACACCTAGGAACTATTGAATTTACTTCCTGCTAGAGTATTAATGTTATATGTTTTTTTTTTTGTTTTTCAGTATGATATTTCCGACTAATTGGTTTCACTTTAAAACACGTTATTACATTTTGAATTATTTCATTTTTGTAATTGAAAATTATACTGTACAGGAGGAAGTCGATCCGACCTTGTAGTATACATATATAAATAATCACAGAGTGGAAATAATGTACAAAGGCCACTTTTACGACCTTGAATAAAGTCATTACAGTGCTTTTGTATTGTGCTCTAATGTCAGCTTGTTTCCAAGGAACTGGTTTTGACTTAATCTAAGCCCAGTCGGCAACACCCACCAATCAAATTACTATTTTTGCTGATTCTAAAATAAGTGGTTATCCAACTTTAGTAAACGTGCTACCTTATTGTATTAAAGCATGAATCAATCAATCGTTCAGGCAGTCAATAACAATTTGGGCTCAAGTTTTACCGGTTTTTGATTTAATAGACCCAATGAATAAACCATGACGAACCAAATTGAAGAAAAAAAAACTTGGAAACAAAATGAGAAGGCTGCATAATAAAAAAGTAGATTAATCAGTATAAAAAACAACAAGTTTTACTTGAGGTTATACCTATTTTCAATTTTAATGACAGTTTGTTTAGTTTCAATTCCATACCAAATTCATTAAGCTTGACCACTTAATATGCTACTTTTAAACATTTACAGGAATCAGGATTGCCACTTTCGTTGTCAGTAAAAGTGCAAATAAATATGCACTTTCAAAATTTGAACAATTATCAGGCTGTTTCGAAATTCAGTCACCTGACAGTGCCCATGCTTTGGTTTGAGATTGTATGTACCTTTAAATAACATTTTATTTTCTGAATTTTCTGTCTAAAAATAAACAATTCAATTTCAGATGATGCCTAAGCTTCCGGACTTCCTAGACTCCCGCTTTAACTTTTATCTGAACCTACTGCCGTGGGTTAATCCTTTGTCCTTCTGGAGTGCACTTTTATTAGGAGTAGGTTTCCTTGGATGTGCTATTACCAAGGCCACACTACAAATGTCTAATTACGCGCGCAAGACGACCTCCATTTCCGAGAGAAAGTTTGCTCGGGTCAATATTATTCAAAATCTCTCAGGTGTGGCGCCCAATCAAGCTCCCGGAGCATGCGAAATGAAATTGATTAATGATCGACTAGAAGACAAACATACAATGAAACCATGTGACGAAATAGATTCAAAGTTTCAGGATCTACGTAGGTTGTCGAAATTAGCTTTGGAAATAGAACCAGCTTTGTCAGATTCCGAGGAAACCACCGAGAATGAAAAAAGCAGCAAAACACCAAATTCTAAATCGAATGTTTTAAGCGTTTGAAGTAATACTGAAAAATAAAACTAGGATCTGCAGACTTCGGATTTTTTCAAACTGGAAGTATGTATGAAGTCAATTTGTTAAGTCAAAAATTTATTTAAACATGTTATGGAAACTATAACGTCAATTATTGTTATACTATGAGGTGGATTGGTATTGAAATTTTGATTTCGATCAAAATTGACTCGATGCTTTCGCGGAAATGACTTATTTAAACATTTATGAATTTGGTATACTATTAAGAAATAACTCTTTAAAACCCGCTCCAAAGTTATTAGAAACATTTTTTGAAACTATGAAAATTTGAGAAAATTTGTAGAGGGTATTATAATATTGGTCAAAAGTGTGCAACGCAGTGAAGAAGACATCTCCGACACTATAAAATATATATATATTCTTGATCAGGATCACTATTGAGTTGATATGAGCTCTCAGACCACATATACATGATACCTTTTTAGACCATATCATCCTTCCGTACCAATAAAAATTTGACGATTTTGTATATTAAAAGAATCCAAAAGCTTCAGACTTTGATTTTTTAACTATAGCAGCAAATTCGGCAAGGATTATCTATAAGGTTTACAAATTTGGACAATTTCCATGATAAAAACAAATCTCTTTGACAATCTTGGTTCAGAAAATCATTATAATTTTTGTAGATGGCTATGACTGTTTCAAAAAATGATATTCAAAGTTCCTAATTAATTAAAAATTAAAAGCTTAAACAACTATAACAAATTCAATAAAATGTTTTTGTACTTTTACTTTGATCCAAAATTAAAATAAAGTATGTTTTACTGATTTCAATAAAAACTACGAAATCTTCCATAGAAAAAATGGTTTTATATGATTTATAGAAGCTTCATATTAAATTTTTCAAATTTTTAGTGGTAAGAGTGGTGATAGTGAAAAATTTGTCACGGGACAAAATGGTACCTGTATATGTGAAAAAAATCAGGGGACTAAATGGTACCTGTATATGTATGTGGTCTGGATTATTTCAGATTTTTATTTTTTTGCTCCGAGAATAATTAAAATTTTGTGATTTTAAAATAAAATAACAAAAAACGGTTCGTGATTCATAAATTATTAGTTTGGCAAAAACATAAACCACTGCAGACGAAGACAAACTAACAGCGGAACAGCACAAAGAGTCACCTTTAACTGCTTTGATATATTTTTACCACTTTCTGAGCGCAGCTGCGTTGCGAAAATTAGCACGAGTTCATAATTGCAAGGCTATTTTTAGAACGTACTGTTATATTTCCAGTAAAATCTGGTATGCCTAAGAAAAGCTTAGACTTTTAAGAGAAAATTCCTTTTTCATTTTGCTTAAATAATACGTAATCAAATATTTTTTATTTTTGGCCTGTCGTCAAAATTGGGATTAAATTGCGTTTTTAATATATTTATCTTGGCGTAGTATTACGCCATATGTACATATTTGCATACATAGTAATTATATACTGGTATACCCCCATTCCATTTACCCTTTAAAAAAGCTAATTTGTGGGTGAAGCACATTGTCCCATACTAATAAAATTTTCCCATACTAATTTTGAATTTTTCTTCTATTATCTTATTTGGTTAAAATAAGATTTTGCAAAGTAAATTAAGAATTTACTAGTTCCGTGAAAAAAAACAGTTTTAAAACCAGTGGGAGTGAAAGTTCCTTACATAGAACGGCTGAACAACCTTCCACCTCTTTTTCGTCCACTAACCCAAAAAACTAGTATCGTCCTTAACACTTACCAATCAGAATACTAGGGGGCTACGTATCAAACTCCCCAAACTATATTCTGATGCATCTCATTTGCATCCCATATTATAGCCTTTACAGAAACTTGGCAAAAACTGGAGATCTTTAGCTCCGAAGTTTTTCCAAGTAAGTACACCACTTTTAGACGGGATCGACCTGATAGAATTGACATGGAATTTATTTGCATTAAGGGAAGGTTCTTTTGGATTTTTCCGAAAATTAAGGAAACTTTGATTTTGGTAAAAATAAACCAATTTCATGGACGTTTAAAAAAAAATTGACATTTTTTTTACTTTGATCTCGTTTAAAAATTATAAATAAACAATTTTTTATGGCAATTTTAGGTATAAGGCATACAAAAAATTTGAATTAAATTCTATAAATGAATGAATTTTTTTTTTGAATGTCCGAAACATTTTTTGAATGAAGGAAATCGGATCAATAGAACAAGCCCTGTGCGCGACAAGAGGTTTGAAAACATGGTTCCGAGAAAAACGCGTTTAAAGTTTTTAGAAACTTTGCCTTGAGATAGCTTTCTTGTTATAATGGGCATGTTTGACACGCTCTAGCTCAAGAAATACGCGGCGTGTCGAAATATCCCTTGGCACGTATATTCTACACATATGTAACTTTCACTTTATTAAAAAATCGATTTTTTCAAAAAAATCAGAAAGAACCTCCCCTTAAAATCATTTTGTCCGCGAAATCTTTATACATTACATGTTCATATGTACCGCCTTAGTCCAAACCGCCCAGATATCGGCAGCATTTGTCCGCTATTCAATCCGTTTTTAATCTTATGACTGATCGTGACCCGCTCGTAGCTGTGGGCGGCTTTAATATCCCAGAATTCAAGTGGTGCAACGGCGATAACTTACCATCTTAATGCGGGCATGTTTGACATGTCCCTAGGTCAAATTAACCATGTTAGAAATTCGTTAGGTAGGCTTTTAGAACTATGACTCTTTTTATAAATGACTTGCCCCCTGCTTTAACTCTCTAGTTCTTATGTATGCAGATGATATAAATCTTTTTCTTCAGTACAAATCCATCTCTGCCAAAAGCAGTTTTCAGTCTAGCCTTGATAATTTTCAAAAGTGGTACTTAACTATCGATTTAATACCTAATGGATCAAAATGCAAGTTTATGTCTTTTTATCGCTCTTGCCTACTGCACGCTCCGTATACTCTTTATGGGATTGCCTTAGAGAAATTAGCTCAGGTTAATGATGTCGGCGTCCTATTAGCCATTAAACTTAAATTTGCCGACCATATTTCCTTAATGATTAATAAGGCTAAAGGAGTCCTTGGTTTTATTAAAAGGTGGTCAAAAGAATTTAATGACCCGTATATAACCAAAACGTTTTATTTCTTTTTTTTTTGTCTGTCCGATACTGGAGTACGGTTCATGTGTCTGGTGTCCCCAATACAGAGTACATCAGGACCGCGTGGAATCCGTACAAAAGTCTGGGATGCAAATCTTCACCTTCCATCTTATAATAGTAGACTTACAAACTTACCTTAACAAATCGTACGACAATGCTCGGTGTAGTTTTTTTGCATAACCTAATTATTGGCGATGTAGATAGCTAGAATTTACTAACACGCTTATGGGGTTATATACAGTTGTGATAGATGAAAAAATCGTTTATATAAATAAAGTAGAATACTCTCACAAAAATTCATACCGATCGGAGCACTAGAACCGAAGTTGTAGCTATTTATAGCGCACTATCTGCACATCAAACTTGAACGAACTTGAAACTTTAAACGCGATTATCTCAGAATCTTGTTTTTTCAGAATTACCTTTTACTACGAGTACTGAAAAACTATTAATCCGATCAACACCAAATTTTGACCACTTATTTATTATAATAATAGCTAGTCCTTGGACGAAGAATTTTCAATTTTTTTGAAAACCCTTTTTTAGAGCATAAAAATCGAAAATCTTATACCTTGAAAAAGTACGTTTTTTGTTAAAACCGTCGCTTTTTTTTTTTTTTTTAACAAAATTTTTACAAATCCATCGCTCACGGACTAGGCAATACAATATACTAACAACATTTTTTTGGATTTCGGATGACCCGTTCTTGGGATATGATGTCCACCGCAAGTCACCATCGAAAAAAGACGATCTAGGAATTCGGCCATAACATTTTTATTATTTAATATTTTTTTATGCAAAAATTTTTATGGGTACCCAGAAACAAATTTTTAATAAATATTTTTTATGGTGTCAAAAAAAAATCGATAATTTTTCATTTTTTTTTGCGTGGTTCAACTGTATATAACCCCTAAAATTTGTACATTCCTAATAGAAGGACTATAAACTTTAGTCCTCTATTTCTTAGCTAGCTTCTTAGCTTAATATAAAAAATTAATCTTTTCTCGAGCGCCCCTCGGTTGTCTGCGCTTTATGATGAGTACAGAAATGCTAACTGATTCTCTAATTGATGCACAAGTCATTTCCAAAATTCGAAAAGACCGCGAAGAAAAAAAAAGGTTAGGGGCAACAGTGCGGTCTTTGGTATGAATATGGTATGAATATATTTTAAATATATAATATGTAGTTCGATTTTCTCTTCAATTTATTGACAGTATGTTCAAGAATTTCATTAAATCTTATTCATTGCAACTGCTAATTTTCCGTTTTAATTTCTTTTTTTCTTCAAGATATTGTTCAATAGTGTGGTTACCAGCTGTTCTTCTTCTATACGGAGCCTCAGATACCAGATAAATAATGAACGCGAAGGATGGATCATAACTGACTGATTGTATTACAAATAAAAAAATAAGCTTGGTTGTTCTGGTAACATCTTTGAAGCATATAATGTTATATATTTCAAAGTTTGGTTTGCTACTGTGATAGGTTTGGGAAAAAAGAAAAAAAAATAATTTTAGGAACTATGTTAATAAAAATCAATCTAAAACAAAAAAAAAATCCAACAATTGATGGGAAACAATGATAATTCAATTGTATGTGCCCATTAATAATTTTACAAGAAAAAGTTTACGATTTTTCTATACTTTAATAAGGTTACGTACGTAAGGAGTATGTTTAAATTTTTTAAATAATTATATAGAAGAGACTTAAAAAGTCATGAATAAAAATAATTTTTGAATATTTAGAGGAATCTAAAGTGGTCGTTATTTAAATTACTGTTTGAGAAAACACTTATACCCCACAACAGGCAAACAGAATTTTCTATAAAGGATAATGATATATCTGGAAATACCAGATATGGATAAATACCCACACTGTTGGTTTACCATTAGCCAAAAAAACTAGATGTTTAAAGCTTTTGTTCAAAACTTAGGTTGAACATAACATATAAAAGATTAAATAATTTAAAAAAAAAAAAAAACAAATGTTAAGAGGAGCCCCAAAATAAAGGTCGTACTCCAATGAGCTCCTTATGGAAACTGATTTTATTCGTCAAAGTTCTCTTATAAGTACGATACATGAGAATCTTAAACCTATGTATTTAAAACGACTTATCAACGCACTGCACGTTGACCTGCTATGCGACCCTTTCTCCAGTGCGATAAGCGCACCACTTATGTATTTGTTTGTGTTAGGCTGCAGGGGATCGGTTTTAGATTATGCTGTTTGACTCGTATTTCATGGGTCCGATCCCTTGAACTTAAGAATTTCTATAAAAAATAGTGTTCAATGCTTGAACATTCTGGAAAGGGCCACAAAAAGAGGCTTAAATTTGATGTGGTTTTCTTTGATTATAATTTTTAAATAAATTTGATGTTACTTTAAACTTTTCTTCGATTATAATTTTTAGTGAACTGTATAAATGTTTGTTTTTGTATTTTGTTAATACATTTTTTTCTTTTAATAATTTGTGCAAGAAATATTTAAAATTATTTAATCTTTAATTTGTTATGTTCAACCTAATGTTTGAACAGCTTTCTTGCTCTTTACTTTTAAAATTTACTTTAAAGTACAGTTTTTTAAAGCTCTCATGTTTTTACTTTTAATATTTACTATAATATAAAGTCAAATTACTTAACGAATAAGCTAAAGAAAATTGCCGGCTTTTCGAGCGCAGAAAATATTTTGCCGATTTTAAAATGTTTGAAGGGAAAAGAATACGAGTTGGTTCGGGACACGCTGCAAATACCGACACTGGTTCCAGACGCCAATAATCAACTGAAAACATTTTTGGGACGATTTCAGAAGGTTTTCGATCTACTTATACGAGGATCCACAGGATCCGTAAAATCAACGTGCTTAAGGATAAGCTGGAGTTACTTATAGATGGAAGCTCGCAACTCCTGCGGCTCTGCGACTCCTGCGAAACTCGTCGATAAGTTACTTACTCATTATAAATTAAAAACAAAGAATCGCCAAAGAAGGCCCATCGTCACAAATATTTCTCCAAGCGCGACTCGGAAGTAAAAAATTCCTACTGGATGCTTGGCGCATTTAAGAGATAGTAAGTGCTCAAATATTTCTCCAAGCGCGACTCGAAAGTAAAAAGTCCTACTGGATGCTTGGCCCATTTAAGAGATAGTAAGTGCTCATCGTGAAGAACAGGAAAGGAGTTTCCATCATTTAATAAACGTTTCCATCAACACAGAGTTACGGATTCTGGATGAAGGTCATCAGTAAATCCTGATAGTAAACTCCTGATGCCTAGTGGACCACTATGCCTAACCGGCAGACCACGCTTCTTATTTGCACGAACAACTAGGCATTGGCAGTTCCCGCAGAATCCGTCAAGAAAAACGCAACGAACCCATTGCTGCAAAATTTACTCTAGAATGGAGAATGGAATCCAAGAAATAGGCAACTCAAGAAAACATGTTTTGCTATATAATTTTTAATGCAACTGGGTCGAAATCGATATAGATACCAAGGAATGTTTTAATAAACTCTCTTTATCTCCAAAAAAGCTTCACTCTAAAGATGAAAAAAAAACCATAGACATTCTTGAGGAAATCTGCAAAAGGTAGACTTTCGTTACCAGCTTGTTGTTTTTGGCGAGATGAGCATGTTACGCTTCTAGAATGCCTTGAAACAGGTTTACGACACCTTGAAATACCTCAAAATAGGTGTTTTTTTTACGATTACCTGTTCATTTGACTGAAATTTCTTTCAGTCAATTTCTTTTTCCCCAAGCCATTTTTTGAAGTTTGGAAATAAATAATATTCACGGGGTGTAAATCGTGAGAATATGGTGGATGGGGTAGAATTTCGTAGTACAATTCACAAAATTTCGACATGGCAACAAAGCTCTTGTGAGCGGGAGCATGTCCTGGTGAAACAAAACTTTTTCTTAGCCATGTGAGGCCTTTTTTTCTTCAGCTCCGAATCAAATCGTCCCAAGAGATTGGAATAGTATTCTCCCCTAATTGTTCTGCCGTTTCCCAGATAATCCACATGAATTACACCTTGGGCATCCCAGAAAACCGTTGCCATCACCTTGTTGGCCGACCAACCGATCTTTGCCTTTTTCGGTGCCGTTTCTCCAGTTGAAATCCATTGCTTTGACTGTTCCTTACTCTCTGGTGTATGGTGATGAATCCAGGTTTCGTCAACAGTCACAAAACGACGAAAAAATCGTTTTTGCTTGCGTTAGCAATGCCAAACTCTCCTCCGCTATGTGCAAGCGGTTGCGTTTATTTTCCATTGTGAGCAATCGCGGCACCCATCTTACTCATGTGTAAAAATTCGTGTAAAATGTTTCCAACGCGTTCCCGAGAAATGTTTAGAGCATTTGCGATCTCTCGCATCTTGATTCGGCGATCATCCAATATCATTCCATGGACTTTATCTACAATTTCTGGTGTGACAACCTCTCTGGGACGACCCGGGCGATCATTGCCAAAAATGCTTGTCCGCCCGCGTTTAAATTCAGCAGCCCAACATTTTATTCTTGAAAACGATGGAACTGAATCCTTATAAACGTTGTATAACTCCTTTTTAATGTCGTCGTTGGATTTCTCTTTTAAAAACAGAAATCTTATGTCAGCACGATATTCGATTTTATTCATGTTGACGACAATGCAAAAGTGAATGCGCTAAAAGTCCCGCCAAAGTTACCAGTGTTGATAAAAAATCACAGTAATCAAACAGTAATCATCTGATAGAAAACACTAATCAAATAAAATATTTTTTATTTGACTTTTTATCAGCCCACCCTCGTAAGTGAGAAAGTCAGCCAAGGGCGGCTGTTACTGGAATTGACCTGGAGGAAGGAGAAGGAAGGAAGAGGCCCTTAAAGGCTGCATTGAAGCGGTCCTAGGGAGCAAGGCCGAGGTGCGGGCGTACTCGGAGGAGACCAAGGAGTCGCTCATCGAACTATGAAGACTCGACGCACTGGCCACTTCAGAGGACATCACCGCAGCGATTGAGCGACACGGACCGCTATCGTGGCTTTCCCCGCGAGCCTGCCAAGGCCATCATTGCTATGGGCAAGTTATGGTTGGGTGCCGTATGAAGGAGAAGGATGTGGTTGCTCGCTGCTACAGGTGCCTAGGGATGGCGCACATAGCAAGCGCTTGCAAGAGCTCGAAGGACAGGAGCGGCTGCTGCTTCCGCTGCGGATAAAAGGAGTATAGGGCGGCCACCTGTAAAAGGGACCCTCGGTGCTTCTCATGTGAAGACAAGGGCCAGAAGACTGTGAGGCATCCGACTGGAAGTAGAAGCTGTGAAAGGAGGTGGACCAAGGATGTCAGGATGCTAGCGTAATGTAATGTAATGTAGCACATAAGATGTGCTGACGCAGACTGTGCTCAGACTGTTTTTTGGGCTGCTTACGCATGAGTGTCAAAAAACACACATTCAAATGTACATACAATGTTCAAAATGAGTTAAGTGAATTTGAAAGCAAAGCCAACCCGGTGTGAGAGATTCGGTTCTCTTACTCTTACTCATTTGCACAACTAATAGAAAAAAGGAAACGAATTGAATGAATTGAGAATGTTGAAAACAGAGACGATTCATTCGAATGATTCGAGCTGCTAATGTTTATGTTTTAATTTAATTTATTTCTATATTAACAATATTTTACAACTCATTTAAATTCGAATGCAAAAACATTATTTTGTTAATATTTTCCGAATTAGTCGCTATTTGACAACGCTTTTCTGTAATTAAATTTTTTGCGTTTGAAAGTGTACGTTCTGACGCCGCGCTGCTCGCTGGAATATTGCTTGTTTTGTGAAATAGCGGAAAAAATTGCTACAATGGTGTATGCTACATTAATATTACAATATGCAGAAATTTCTTGATCCACCTTGTCTTGTATTGTCTCAACATCGAAAAAATCACCAAATTCATCGTCTACTAACTGGGTTTCATTATTGTTGATGTCAAAGTTTTCTTGTAGAAATTGACTCATAATAATTTTGCATTCTTTAATTATGGTCTCTTTCTCAGTTTGTGAGAATTGAATTAGTTGGTTTGTTGGAGGAAAAAGGAACACAGTCCCTTAGCAGCAGTCACTTAATAGCTAACCAAACAACGGCAGCCAATGAGTGACCCACCGGCGCTGGTAAACTGTCTTTTCAACCAGCTGCCATCTGTGACAGTCCCTTAACAACTTGTCTTCACAAAATTCTTGCAGAGGCGGAAAAAGCAAAAGCCGTCTTGCATTTAATAATAAACTAATTTACACACAACCTAAAAACAAAACTTAGAAAAACGAGGTCTACAAATACATACAGATTCGTCGGCTTCTTTTCTATTTGGTTTTCCATATTTTCGTTTTTGTTCCGGAGTTGTCAAAAAAGGAATGTATTGAAATCCCATGATACAATTATACAAGGTAGTCCATTCCACTGACATATCGTTCGGGTTTGGTCCCTTAATTTCAAACTGTCAAACTGAAAAGTGATTTTTATTTTTAAAACTTTAACCTTTAAGTGGCCAAGCCAAAAAAAATGACTTTTTGCAGTTCTTGTCGCAAGCACTTTTTTTATTTTAAGTTTTTTTTAAACAAAAAATTTAAAACAGACATTGTTAAACGCCGCTGAGCAGGTCAATATTTGTGTAAATATAAAAAAAAATTTATTTTAAGATACGTACATATATACCTTTTTTTTCTTCAAAAAAACGAAAAATTTTTTTTTGCTGAATCCTAAAGTATATCCCCTAGAGAATATTTTCCCAAAGTTT